TTCCCCTGCAGTCCATGGTGAAGACTATAGTGAGGCAGGTTGTGCCCCTGCAGCCCATGAAAGTCAGCGGGAGTGCAGAGATTCACCTGCAGCCCGTGAAGGAGACCCATGCCAGAGCAAGTAGATGCCTGAAAGGAGGTTGTGAATACATGGAAAGCCCATACTGGAGCAGGGACCTGCAGACCCATAGAGAGAGAGCCCACCCTAGAGGAGGTCTCCTGGTAGGATTTGTCACCCTGTTGGGGACCCACAAGGAAGCTTGCTGTACCTGAAGGATTGTACCCTGTGGAAAGGTGACCCACATTGGTGCAGTTCATGGAAAACTGTGGCCCTTGGGATGGACTCACGCTGGAAAAATTCATGGAGGCCTGTCTCCCATGGGAGGGACTCCACACTGGAGCAGGAGGACTCTTCTCCTGGAGCAGTGGCAGAAACAACTGACCCTAACGCCCATTCTCTGTCTCACTGCACTCTGTGGGGAAGGAGGTGGAGCTGGGAAGGAATTTCTAAGATTTGTTTTACTTCTCATTATCCTGTTCTGGTTTCATTAGTAGTAAATTCCATTACTATCTCAAAGTTCAGTCTATTTTGCCTGTGATGGTATTCAGTGAGTCATCCCTCCCAGTCCTTATCTCAACTCATGAACCTTTCATTATATTTTCTCTGCCCTGTCCACTTGTCAGGGGAAGTGGGAGTGGCTTTGGTGGGTGCCTGGCACCCAGCCAGGGTCAACCCACTACATCATTGTGTACAACAAAGGGTCTGGGAGGTGCAACAGGCCTGAGTACCACCCAAGTTAACTTGTTCATAGAAGTAGCAAATCTTGTAACCTGACAACCGATGTAACAAAATGCAGCATTAACATGAGGGTTGTAACACTCTAAGGCTGAAAAGAACAAAGCCAGGAAGGAGATGCATGTACTGGCTTTGAAGAGTCAAAGAGAGCCTGGGGGAAATGTAGAACAGAGGTACTTCATTCTCTCTATCCTTTTGTGCTAGTATCCATTAATGAAGCAAATTGCAGTGAAGTAGCATTTTGGAGAAAGAACTGTTAACTATAGTCCTACTTACCTAGTTCTGTAGATTAATTGCACAGTATCAACAAGGAGAGGCAATAGCTAGAACCCAGTGGAGTTCAGATGCCTCTACAAAAGCAGTTTCAGTCTTTCATACAATTTTAAAATAAAGTGTGACCTTCATTTATTTTCTCCCTAGGTAATATCTGCCAACAGTTGCTGCCAGATATTAAATGCCCCACATTTATAATTCATGGTGAGAAAGACCCTTTGCTCCCACAGGCTCATGCAGAATACATTCATAAGCACATCAAAGGCTCTCGGTAAGTTATATGATGAAGTTTTTATAAACCATTGTTGAAGAGATGAAGCAGTTCAAACCCACAGCGCTTTTTAAAAAAAAGTATTTGGACAAGTTGTCTCTGCCACAGAGCTATTCTAAACATCCCTAGCAAGTTACAATGCAAACAGTGTAGCTGAACCTTTCTTGCAATATAAAAAGTATAGTATTTTAATAAGCTCCTTCCTAAAGCCCTCTGAGAGAAACCAAGTTCCTTTTCCTTTTTCGACTAGTCACATAGAACCAGCACTATCCAATATTTATCAAAACAAGCAAATTTCTGCTTTAGTTGTTGTGACCATTGCATTCTTTTTGCTGTAAGAGACCTCATTTCTGTCCCATTCAGTAGAACTTAGATGATATGAATGGGGAGAGATTCCCAGTTATTAAAGAGAAAACCACAGGACACTTCTGTTTGGTCTGCCTTGCTGATGTGAACCACAACCTCCAAGATTTTAGGTTTCCAACTGCCCCATGAATTTTCAGTGTTCTTAAGAAAAACAGAATGAGAAAAAAAAAGGTGCAACTGTTCTGTAAGATATTACTTTATCAACAAGAAAAATCTGAGAGCACGATGTGCTTCATGTGTGCTGTGGTTTTATCCCAGGCAGCAACTAGGTACCAATCAACCCCTCATCAATGGGATCAGGAAGAGAATCAGATGAGTAAAAGGGAAAAAACTCATGTGTTGAGATAAAGATGGTTTAATAGGTAAAGCAAAAGCCGCACATGCAAACAAAGCAAAACAAGGACTTAACTCACTGCTTCCCATAGGAAGGCAAGTGTTCAGCTATCTCCAGGAAAGCTGGGCTACATCACACATAACAGTTACTTGGGAAGACAAAACATCATCAATTCCAAACATCCCCCTTCCTTCTTCTCCCAGCTCTATATGCTGAGCACGATACCATAGAGTATGGAATATTCCTTTGGTCAGTTGGGGTCAGCTGTCCCAGCTGTGTCCCCTCCCAACTCCTTGTGCATCCTCAGCCTCCTTGATAATGGGGAGTATGAGAAGCAGGAAAGGCCTTGACACTGTGTAAGCACTGTTCAGCAATAACATCTCTATATTATCAACACTGTTTTCAGCACAAATCTAAAACATATCCCCATAACAGCTAACTCTATCCCAGCCAAAACCAACACAATTTGAAAATTCCAGAAATACTTCCTATTAAAAGCTAGGATTCTACCAGCTGAATTTTCTTCATAAATTTACACACAAATGCAAGAGTTCTATTGCTACTTAATAAGAGACTGTGACGACTAGTGATAGAGTACAGAAGTAGCAGGGGGAAAAAAACCACCAAGCACATTTTTACAAATGCAAAATAAAGGGAAACTGTTTTATTGGTGTCATGTCTGTGCAAAAATGAGTGATATAATTATCTCAAAGTCAGCCCTGCTGATCATAGGAATGCATTATGCCATAGAGAAAATAAGAACAAGAGACCTTCCTAACTATCCCATGCAAGTGTTTTATTCCATGTCTGCTGGTTAGTTACTCCTACATGGCCTACTGAGAACACATATCATCCTTTTTGGTTTCACTGAGCTCCAAAATCCTCCAGATACTGACTAAGCCAAGTCATGACAAAAACTAGACAAGGATCTGATAGCTTCTTTTTGGAAAACAAGCCCAAAAGGAAACATTGATAGAAATTGCCATCCAGTAAAATGTAAAACAGTGATTCTTTGCATGCCTTTGTGCTGGTGTTCTCCCCTGTATGCGTATTTGTCAGAAAACAAACCAGATTAATGATGTTCTCAGAAATGAATACTTGGGTACATGGTCCCCTTCTTTCCTGGTTGCATTGGAAATGGCATGTTCCATTGGGAAGCAGAAGGAAAACCATAAATTTAGCACATTCTCAGTAACACAAGTTTCTATCATCAGCTTTTCTTGCCTTGACTTTTATCTAGTAGTAAATTAGAAAAAGCTTTTTCTGATCTGTAATGCAGATACATTTCTTGTTTCTCTTATGGTAGAAGGGTGTGCCATCACTCTGCCTTTGCATGGTATGGCTGGAGTTAGGTAGTGTTACAGTAGTAGCAAACATTAACAGCAGTAGAAAATAGCATACACAGTGCTATAGGTTTGTGCGTCTGTGCTGCTTAGTCTTTTATGAAAGAGACTTAATGAAATTCAGATAAAGTTTGGTAGAAAAGCTGGGTACGTTCACGTCCTATTGGCTCTTTTCCCAAAACAAGACAGCACTGGTCACCACTAAAAGATTAATCCCCCTTGCTGTAGTAGGACATGAAGGCAATGACATACCAGTCAAAATGGCTTTAGCTCTGTTGAAATCACTTAGTATATGGTAGAACAAAAACAATTTAAAGAATTTCCCACCCTCATAAAAAGAAGTGGACATACCTGACGTATAAAGTTTGTCTCAGACAGAAAGCAATAGTAAGTAGCATTTTAGGCGTGTCACACATATCCATATCACAAAGATCTAACCTTCTTAGGAGCTACCACTTCTAAGCTTTTGTTATAACCGAAGAAGTTCTGACTTCCCTTTTTACTTTAATGAATGAATGGCGTTAGGTTGGGATTGTCTTTTTGCAGAAAGATTAGACAAAGTACAAACACTAACCAAAGTTTGAGCTGTGACAAGAACTCTACATTTTTGTAGTGATCTCTTCAATGTGTTCACTGCCCAGCACAACTACTGTTCTGTGAGAGACAAAGTGCTCAGGTACTTCACATACCTTTCAAAGATGCAAGCTGTTCACATAAGTTTTGGAATCTTATCTTCTTTGTCCATCACGGAAAAGGCTTCTAGAAACTGGGCAAAATTTGTTTCAAGCTTATTTTACCCTTCTCAAAGTGGGCCAATTGGTGTGCTTGTTGCTTCAGCTGTTGCTGTGGTTCACATTCTGAACCACATACCTAGGAACAGTACTTAAGTGTTACTTATTGGGTAATCAAGAGCAAGGAAAAGGCAACAAGTATTTCAATCACCTATACTCATGGAATAAAATGTATAATCTGTTTGATTTTTTTTCTCTTTTAAAGGTTACTTTTGATGCCAGAAGGAAAGCATAATTTACACCTGCGTTTTGCAGAGGACTTCAACAGACAAGTGGAAGACTTCCTACGTTGACTTGAACTATAAAACAAGTTAGAGATGCTTGTTCTTTGACTTGTTTAAGAGTTTAGGGTGGCTTTCCATTTTCATTCAATTTATAGGTAGGTCTGAGTCTTGTAAGAAAAAACATTAAACACATTTGCATGAGAAGCATATGTTTTGAAAATATATAAGCCTCAGTGGATCAGAGCACACCACTGTGCTGCAAGATTTCTGACATGTCTTTAAACTTACTTGTTGCCACACAGGCTGAGCAGCTGTTCTTTGTCCAATAGAGGCATTAAGAAAGACAGAAAACATGATCTAGAATACATGCCTTTATGTGCTTCTAACATTAAAGGACAAAAAACATTGTGATAATTAGGATTCAGAATTGTTACACTGAGAAATCTGCCAAAGTTACAAGTGCTGAGAAGATAATTAGTATACAGTTTCTAGAAAACATGCTTCACCACCACCATCAGAAGTCATTCAGTATGCATGCCTGCTTTACAGAAGTTCTTTTGATACCAGGGGGCTTAAGCCTCATCCTCCTC